CATTTTGACTGCACAATTGTGAGCTTTTTGTTATGCACAAAAAGAACATAGTTTTCTTTTATTTATGGACCATGATTATTTAATAAATGCTGAGAATTTATTTTTGAGTAATTTTTCATGTACATCTACGCTGTATGTAAATAAAAGTGCCCGTGTGACATCTGGGACACAGTGTGACTAAGAACTCTCTTTTTGTTCTTAACTTATGGCTTTAAAAAAAAAAAAATTGAGATATATATCTTATATCGCCATCCAGCTAAAAAATATCGAGATATGAATTTTGGGTCATATCGCCCAGCCCTACTGCTGACAGATATAGCAGACACACACTGAAGCACTTTATCCTGAAAATGCACATCTGTAAAACTTTTGTTCATTTCCAGAGCATTCTGTAAGTCACCTGGCAGAGATGAAAATGGCACACTGACACTTGTGCTGAGTGAATGTTCAAAGTCAACAAGCAACTTATCTGAAGAAAACTCCCAGCACTGTTTCATTTGATGACGATTGTTAAGAGTTGCAGTGATGTTTACAAAGTTTTTGCATTTACTCGCTAGATTTTTGAAATATTGATGCTTGCTTTCATATCCCATACACCACAAAGGGCGAAGAGGACCATACATCAAAATCAGCCTTGGGTAGTGAATAAGGTAGTGACACTTGGGTGGGGGCATATTTAATAGAGTTGGTTAAGTACCCTGGTGACACTTACTGGCAGGGGTTTGTCTCCCTGGTCTCCTATGTTGACAATGCAGTTCTGAAGAAAGACAAATGTTTTCTTGAAGTATGCAGGGTAGGTCATGTTGAACACGAAGAAGGTGGAGAATGCTGAGATGTAGGCCTCATCCAGCGAGCGGCACGAGCAAACATCCACTCCTTCAACTGTCACAACACAGCGAAACTGTCTTAAGAGGGCAGTTGTCCAACTCTTATCCTTCATTCGAATGGTTGGGTATGGACTCGTGGGAGTATTCTGCAGAAGAGGAAGAAAAACATTAGTATACAGTATGTTTAAGCAATATGTGCCAAGTGGATTTTCAACAGATTCCTCAAATTACCTTCTTTATTTGCAGCAAAACAAAACTGTCTATTCTGATAACCTGTAAACATGGCCCCTACTCCAAACAAAAAGCTTCTTGACCAATGACTGTTGTGGTAGTGTTTGATAAGCTGCTAAAGTTTGACATAATATTCAAGGGCAAAAGCAATCACCCCTGACAGTGACAGTACCTGTGAAGAAGAATTTCCCTAAGGGGACAATAAAGGTTTATCTATCTATATAAACACCAGACAAAACCCAAGAGCACAGCAGCACTGTGGATTAACAGCAGTGTTTCCCCTACATTAGCTTAGCTGTGATGCTGAACCGCAGCTGAATTCAGCTCCATGCCAACAAAACACAGAGAATGAAACTTGTGGCCAAAGGCTATGCATTGCATCATGCATTTACCTCTCCAAGGATGATGAAATCTTCTATCTTCTCCTTGAAGATGGATGGCAAGAGAAGTGCCCCCTTGAAGTCAATTCCTAGGTCATACAGATGCAAATGCACTTCATTAGATTTTGATAGCATGCAAATTCCCATTAACATGCTCTTCACATGACACTATGGTACATCAATTATCTTTGGAAGAGAGAGCAAATGAATTGTCACAAAATTTACTATTTGTATGCGGTCAAATTAGCACCTGTAATGTCTTCAGCCAGTGCATTCTCCCTCCATGTAGACCTTCTTCAGTGGCAAATCCTTGGTCATTTGAAGAACAGCAGTGAAGTTTTTGCTAAAGCGGCGACAGATGTTGTCTTGGCAGGGATGCATTAAATCAACCTCATCACACAACTGGAAATGAAAAGAGCAGAATAGACAAAAGAATGACATTTTACATTGAGGATTTAAACTTTTGACATGTTTAAAGACACAGACTGGAGATAAATGTAAAGTACTTTAACCCTTGATCAAAAAATTCTAAAGCTAATAAACAGATTGATTAATCAGCTAGTACAGAAAATAATAATAATAATCAGATTTAGAGACAAAAAAAAAAAAATCATTAGCTGTTTCCCCAATCATCTTAACAATTCTTGGGTTGCAGACAGTGTCCCTGCGCAGAGCTTACAGCTCTCAGATTCGAAAATCCCAAATCCCACTAAATAGGTGGAATGGTGCAAATGTGTACCTTCCATTGTTTAAAATCCCTTTGAGCGGGAAACAAGTTAGATGCGATAAATTTTGCTTAGAAAACGTTTTTGTTAATAGCTATATTTACATACAAGCATGTTTTGAGAAATTATTGATTTTTTTACATTGTTGTACAAGGTTAGTGACTATTTATTGATAAAGCACTGGAATACGGCGGGAAGACAGACGTTGACGATTCCACCAACAGTCTAAAATTTAGACTGTTGGTGGAATCGTCAACCAGACAAGATTTTAACCATTTAATTCTAAGGGTGCCAACCATAAATTCCAATTCTGGAGTTTTGATACCACCTTTATTGTATCCCTTCACAAGCTGAGATCTTTCTATGTAATGGGTTTTATTCCTCCACAAAAATTCGAACACATTTCTATTTATGGTTTTCATGGTATTTATCGTTTTTTTATTTCTTATATTGTTTACGTGGCGCAAAAAAGGTTGGGGACTGCTGTACTAGCAGGTTGCTGAGTAGAAATCCTTGTAGTGTTTTGAAATATACCACTTTTTCCATCAGTTTCCTTGTCAGGAAACAACTTCCTGTTCAGCAGAAATGCCTCTGGTTTCAGTGGTGTGTGTGAGAGCGTTTCAGTAGTGTGTGTGAGAGCGTTTCAGTAGTGTGTGTGAGAGCATTTCAGTTGTGTGTGTGAGAGCTAAAATTTCAGTAGTGTGTGTGAGAGCTAAAATTTCAGTAGTGTGTGTGAGAGCGTTTCAGTAGTGTGTGTGAGAGCGTTTCAGTTGTGTGTGTGAGTGCGTGTGAGAGTGTTTCAGTAGTGTGTGTGAGAGTGTTTCAGTAGTGTGTGTGAGAGCGTTTCAGTAGTGTGTGTGAGAGCTAAAATTTCAGTTGTGTGTGTGAGAGCGTTTCAGTAGTGTGTGTGAGAGCGTTTCAGTAGTGTGTGTGAGAGCGTTTCAGTAGTGTGTGTGAGAGCTAAAATTTCAGTAGTGTGTGTGAGAGCGTTTCAGTAATAATGTCCCTTACGGCACCTCATAGCTGACGGCCAGGTTTAAGAGAAAAAACCGAGAGCTAAAAATTGGAGTTAACTCGCTGACTAGCTTGTCAGTTTTACTACACTTCGCGCCGCTGTTTGCGCATGCGCAGCGACCTAAGCGTCAGAAAAAATCTGATGTCATCTGACTGGCTTCCCTGTATCAATCAAGTGACGGGATGGATGATAGGCTGGCATCTATTTTTTTAATGCCATGCGATCTACCAATACTACCTTTGCGATCGACGTATTGAGCACCCCTGGTCTAAATAGTCCACATTTGTACCTTTCTTTGTTTAAAACTTAGCTAACTGCTAGCATTCACCCATGTTAAAGCTAGCTCTTCGGACTTTTGCTAACTCTACTGTAAAATTACACGTTGTAATTTTTATAACAACACAAAATCACACCCGACTTACCTCTAAACCTTTGCGCCTCGTCGTCTGACACATCAATGCCTTCTTCCATCAACTTTATAAGGAGCTCCTCCATTGATAACCCCCTGAGAGTCATTTTCTGCGTCAACGCTAGTCAGCGCGGAGGCGGAGCACTCACCGCTGCTGGCTTTTCAGCCTTTGGGATTAATGCGCGTTGCGAACTTGATACATGGAAATACAACATTGTGGTATTAATGCGCAGTTGTTTAGAAACCGTTATGCTGTCTTGGCGAACTATATTTGTAACTTACAAAGTGTAGTCACCGTAACATAAACATCTGCTTGACATTTTAACTTCCAAAGAACCTCGGTTTAACTTGATGTTGCAAATTCCATAAAAACCTCCCAATTAATGAACAATTCTAGGATGTAGTAAAAGCGAAAAAGTAAATGGCCAAACATAACAGTAATATGACTTCACGTTTTTGAAGGCTACAACCAAGATTTAAAACATTAAAAATTATAACTGGAACTCCAGCGAGTAGTGCGGTGCTCTGAACGGATAATTGGAGGTGAGCTTCCCTCCCTCCAAGACATCTACAGGAAGCGGTGCCTGAGGAAAGCGGGGAGGATCATCAAGGACTCCAGTCACCCCAGCCATAAACTGTTCAGACTGCTTCCATCAGGAAGGAGGTTCTGCAGCATCCGGTCCCGTACCAGCAGACTGAGAGACAGCTTTTTCCATCAGGCCATCAGACTGCTGAACACGTCATAGACACCTCAGCTTCACTACTGGAACTTCAACATTATGCACTCCACACTGTATATAAATGCCACTTGTTTTGCACATATTCAACTCTGTATATTTTATATATTTTATTATTATTATTATTATTATTATTATTTTATTTATTTTTTTACTATTTAATTTGTAAAAATGTGTATACACACACACACACACACACACACACACACACACACACGTAGGAAAATATTTAGTATACACATCCAGAAATGCATACACTATTATATATTGTACATATATTTATTAGTTTCAGGTTGGCCATTCTTGTATTTTGCTCGTTTGTGTTGTTGTGTTTGCACATCTCTGTTGCTTGTGGGGCTCGCACACAAGAATTTCACTCGCATGTGCTGTGCCAGTGTGCCTGCACATGTGATGTGACAATAAAAAGTGATTTGATTTGTGATTTGATTTGATTTAATAAAATGGAAATGGACCAGTTTTTTTTAACATCATTTGGTTGTGCCTGCATGTCATTGTGTGTTTTTTTTTAAATATAATTTAACATAACTTACACAAAGGTAGGTTATAGATATTCTTTGCATCATAGGATAATTTACATACAGAGGAGAGGACCAACAGATTTGATTATAACATGTAGCTTTTATGAGCACACTCACATCTCATATGAATTTTACAATTAACCAGGCCCATCCAGATTTTCCCATGCTGACCCATTACCACATTCTGCCACTGTCACTGCAGTACAGGTCAAAATGGTACAGATTTGTACTTTAAATTGTACCTTTAAAGGGGCATTTCTGGACTTTTAAAGGCCAGTATTGTACTTTTAAGGGAACATTTTAAAAAAATGTACCTATAGGTACAAAAATGTTCTTCTCTCATACCTCTATTTCTGAGAGTGCACGAGCAAACTTCAGCCAGAACCTGCAATACAAACCCATCAGTTATCCTGCACTGGTGCAGGAAAGTGAAGCCAAGGATTCAATCCCAAAAACTGTGATTCCTTCAGTGTCTTCTGGAAGCTGGCTCCAAAAGCAAGTCAGCATCCAGTCTGGTAATAGAAATGGTTCTAATCTTTACAGTTTCTCAGATTGTAGTTTCTCAGGCAGCTTGTTAACATAACCAGCCCTTCACCTTCTTACCAGAATCATACAGTCTAAAACCTGCACGCCTCATCTGGGTAATGAAAGATGAAGTCATTGTGGAAGGACCTAGAACCTCCATTCCTTCTATCAGTGATTTAATGAAAAGACCTCTGTGTCTATGAGAAAGTCTATTTTATGAATTTGGGTCATACTTTGCCTAAGAAAAGGAGTATGCTCACTGGCTGACATGCAAGCTGTTTCACAGTCATAGCCATCCTCTTGTCACTGTGGGTTTTTTTTTAAAAAAATCCAAGATAGCAACGGTGACAACATTTGTCTTAAACACTCGTGATCAGACTTCATCAACCAATCATGGTAGTCTTCAGCATCTTTTAAATTGTCTGTGGTCCAAGTATGGTCACTTCTGGCTCTCCTCAGTGTCACCTCACCTCTTCATTTGTGTGCAGGACGGCCAGTAGCTGGTCCTGCGGGGAGAGCAGAGCGCCTTCTTTCTGCAGAGAGAGACGAGGCAGGAGGCCACATTTCTGGTAGTAACGCTGAGCTGCCTGCTCACACAGCCACGACACAGAGCAGGAGTTGGCCTCACTGGGATGCAGAGCAATGACCGGCGATTAAACAGAAATTAAAAACAAAACAACAACAAAAAAACACTATACCAATCAGATTGGGATTTATTTTTATGTACTGCTCAAACTTAAAACTTTTCACCCACCTTTGTGGAACTGGGATCAGGAAGACGTCTTCCTGAACCCGGACCCTCATTCTGATTGGTGGAGGAAGTGACGTGGGCATAGGAGCAACCAAAGTTTGAGTTGGAGGCTAGAGTAAACAAAATAAAACATTCAAGCACTGTTAAAACATCTGTATTTAATGTCGTCAACTCTTTGTAGAAAGACAAAGCAGAGTCTGTACTAGAGAAATCAGGAGACCTGACGAGGGCAGTATTACGCCTTTTATACCTCCAGCCTACCGTAAATTCAGTAGAAGAAGAATAGCAGCAATGGCGCCATTGAGAGATCCCATCGCGATCCTGAATTAAGTTTGAAGATGTTGGTTTGGCCGTGTCGGTTGTTGTTGCAATAATGTCTTCAGTTCCGAATCTTAGAGAGTTTATCAAGGAGAGATTAACTTCTGCTGCAGAAGAAATCTTCTCAGAGTTTGAAAAAACGATCGTCCGGTATGAGGAAGAGATCCGTCAGCTAAGACTGCTTGATATCAGACCCGGGATAAAGTCACACAATACAGGTGTGGAGGTGTGAGGGTTGCGGGATCATCGTGTGATTCACGTGGGCATGATCTAAATGCATTGAACTAGTAATACACCACAGTAAAGTGTATGAAGTTATATCTGTACAGTGTTGAGAAGGTTACTTTTAAAATGTTTTCCACGAAAGATTACAGAATACATGGCCCAAATGGAGTTTGTAACTATTCCATTAAGTTACTCAATGTGAATAACGTATTCTGAATACTTTGGTCCGGATTACTTTATTACTTGCTTGTTACAACTACTTGAATGTACTATTGCTGTGTGAATTATTGCTATAACTGAAGGCTACTAGCCACCGAGCTAACATTGTTAGCTGGCTTTAGCTAAAGTTATTTCATAGACTAAAGACTGTTAGACTTGATTCATAGCATTAACATCCTGCTAGCTACAAACAATCATGTGCAGTTCTGAAAGCAATCTCAAGTAAATTTTTAAATCGTGATGTAAAATGAGTAACAGTAGGGTGGACATTAGGCAAGGCTGCAGTTTTTGCAGCGATCTCGTATAGAACACAATTTCTGTATCAGTAATAGGTTTTCTTTCTGTTTGCTTTCAGAACTGCACATAATTATTTGCAAGTAGCAGGTTGTAATGCAGCCTTCAGTAATAGTAATGAGTCACACAGCAATAGTACATCGAAGATTCTGAAGTGAGACATAACCTAGATAGCTACATAAACTAATACAAGGTAGTTGTAGTAGGCTTACGTTAGGGCTGTACAATCAATAAAGATGAGGCAGAACCTGGTAGCTCCAAACAGAAGGACCAGTCAAAACAAATTGAGGATGTTATTCCTAAATGAGGGGCTCCCCCTGTTGCATGGACATGGTTTGGTTATGAAAAGTCTGACACGGATCAGAAAACTGTACTATGGAAATTATGCCCAGACTGGTTCCCACCACGGACTCAAACACGACAAACCTCTTCGACCACCTACGCATGAATCATGTGAAAGTTTGTGGAGAGAGTTTATAGATGAGAAGCAAAAAAGAGCCATCAGGTGCTCAAAATAAACCTTAGACTCATACGTTAGAACAGGCTTTTCCCCCACGTGTAATAAATACTCAGAAAGAAAATGGCGGCCGTTACAACATATATCTAAAAATATATAGTGCATTGGTCAAAATACTCGACTCCAGGTACACGACACCCAGCTGAAAACACTTCATGAAAGTCAAGTTGCCCGATATTCACAGAATTTACAGAAAAAGCACTATTTTGTCATATATATCATTATCGGGACGAGAAACGTCTTATATTGGGATATGAGATTTTGGTCATGTCGCACAGCCCTAGCTAATGTTAGTCTTTAAAAAAAGAATGTACTTCCAGATGTTTCTTTCGGGTGGAGTCTTTATAGTTGAGAGCAGCTCGGTTTCTGGGTCCATTGTATAACTGACACCACCAACATTACCAAGACACTTACACTAGAGCTTCTTGTTGCGTGTTTTGTTTGGGTTTCCGGTAATGCGTGAAATCAACAAAATTAGAGAGGGTATAGCCTGACATATGAAACAGGAAAAGACCATCGTGTAATCCATTTATTTAGAAGTAACTGTATTCTAATTGTAACCCACCTAAAATCTGCCTCATGAAAATGAACTGCTGTTCCCCAAGAATGTCAGTAGGTGGCACTATGAGATTGTTTAGTGCTTGTGAACTTGAGTTGAGAACTATAGAGAAGGAGAATAGCGCTAAGGCTACGTATGCTGGTCGGAGCTACTCACAGAGTTTTTCCTTAACCTTTTTCTTGAACAAGGATTGTGTGTGAAGACACAAATTGGATTTTACTTTTCCGCTTGTTGGGAAACGCGGACACTTTTTGTTGATGCTGATGTACCTCTGTTTTTGTGTTTTTTGTTCATTTCCGGTGAGTTGACTAACTGCGCTAGCATAGCAAGCTAATCGTTAGCTCAGTATAATGTAAATTTCATGTGTTCCTTTTAAGTGCTGTATTATGTTTTTATTTCTTCACTTGTGAATGTTTTAAGCCAATCGGAAATATTTCTTTGGAAGCTAGTAGGTAAGTTTTATTTATTGTAATGAGACGATAAATATGAGCAGTCTTTGGCTAAATAGTACTGCGACCACGTTTTGCACTTTCCTCGTGCATCAGTAATGTACATTCTCTCAATTCATTGGATTGATGTGACTGCTGTTCACAAAATATGAGATTTGAGTTAAATTTGTATGATGTGGAAATTGTTTTAAGGTTCTTTGATTAATTTTATTATTGATTGCATTAAGTCGTTATATACAAAGAGTGAGAGACATTTGGTCACTAGTGTTGATTAAGTTGTTATATGATATTCATGTAAAATATGTTCACTGCCCTGTGCAGGTTGGTTTTTTTTGTTGGAGTCTAAAGTTGCGAGCCAGGATTCCGGATCCCCAGCTGCGATGCAGGAAAGATTTCCAGCCTACTTAGAAGTGACAACTGCGTTACTTCTTGACAGATAAGCTTATGAGATCTCAGAACAATACACTACCCGGGTAGTACTACTAACATTAACACTATACACACACACTCACACACCTGAACTGAAAAGACTGAAAAGAACTCTGAACACTGAACTCTGAACTCTAAAACTGAATACACAGACTGACAAATATGGACAATTGGAACTGTTGTGAACTGTTGAATGACTGTTTTTGGTTTTGTTTTGAATAAATGTTGACTGTTCTTTTAGCTGTGTGTCATTCGCTCCTTAGTCGATTCCTAGAGGCCATAAGCCTAAGATCCTAACTTTCTCTACATTCAGTAGTGGTAAAGTATCGTGTGTTACATAGTACCTTTTCGTGGCGAGCCAGCCAGGAGCGATTAAGACACAGCTAATATTGAAATTACAGCATTCTGCAATAGCATAGTTAATTTTGAGATTGTGATTTATTGTGATAAGCTTTCAACTAAGACAACATTGAAAAGAGATGGATTTGGTACAGAATTACGGGGTGGATTTTAAACGGTCCATCAGTATTACTGGAGTTACTAGTTTCGATTCTGATGCTGATATTACTGCTTCCTTAGAGAAGTATGGGGTGGTAACAAGGATTCTGAGGGTCCCAAATGCACAACCAGATTGTGGGGAAACTGTTATTGCTGAGTTTGAGTCAGAGATTACAATGGGGGATAACGAGTCAGATTTTCCCCTTGAGATTGAAAATGTGACCAACAAGAATGTAAAATTGCAGGCTAGTCGCATTGAAATGCCAGCACTCCATCAAACTCCAGACCCTGTTTTGGCTGACTCAAGTGATGAAAGTGTTGACAGTTATTCTGACCACAGTACTACACCCTTGATAAAGACAGCAAAGTTAAAGTACAACCACAGACGGCCCCTTACATCCCAGCCAGTCACCCATTCAACTAAATCTCAGACTTGTAGAGTTGTTAAACCAAAGACTACTCCAACCAGACTTCCAGTGGTGACAGATGAAGTAACAAACCCACCAGAGATACAGCGTATAGTAGTGGAACATGTAATCAGAAATGACTCTGTCGCTACACATGGCCAATCCAAATGGTTACGCTCATTCTCAGGCCGTGTGCCAAAACCCCCCGGAGAAGTGGATTTTGAAACGTGGTGTTTACATGTTGAACTAATGTTCAATGATGGCACTCCAGTTGACATTCAGCGGAGGAAAATACTAGAGAGTCTTCTTCCCCCAGCATCAGATGTTGTGAAGCAACTTGGTTATTCAGCACATCCACGAGAATATGTCAGGCTGTTAGATTCTGCATATGGTCTTGTGGAGGATGGTGAGGAGATATTTGCAAGGTTCCTGAACACAAATCAAAATCCAGGTGAGAAAGCTTCTGATTACCTACAGAGGCTGCAAGCTCTCCTTAACACTGCTGTAAGCAGGAATGGTGTGATTCCAGCAGATGCAAGTCGACATTTGCTAAAGCAGTTCAAACGGGGTTGCTGGGACCATAACTTGGTCCTGCAACTGGAACTAAAGAAAGAGACCATGCCTGAGTTTGCAGAGCTTCTGCTAGAGCTGAGGACTGAAGAGGACAGAAGGGCTTCTAAGCTGGACCGGATGCAACGTCATTTTGGGCCTACCAAGATAAAACCAATTGCACACATGCATTCTGTCCCTGACTTCCCACATCACACTGACCCAAGTGCAAGTGTATTGCAGGCCTATATCTCTGAAACTGAGAGTCTAAAGAAGCAGGTTGCAGAACTGCAATTGCAACTGATGACAAAACCATCTAAAAAGCAAAGAAAGCGACAAGTTAAAGCAATGGAAACAACACAAGAGCCACCCGTACCTGTAATTGAAACTCTGGTACACCAAATTCCACCACGAACCCAAGTGAGAGCTGAGCCCAAGGCTTGGTTCTGTTTTAGGTGCGGTGAAGACGGCCACATAGCCAGGAACTGTGAAAATGCTATAAACAAGGCTGTGGTTGATCAAAAGTACAAAGAACTAAAAGCCAGACAGGAAGAATGGAAAGCCCAGCAGCAGGGTCAAGCTTTAAACTGGAGCAGGTTCCGGTAAGGGGACATACGGGAACCAAGAACATTCACAATAGTCC